CCCATCTTGTATGCGGTTGGAATAAAGGAATCATACGAAACAATGCAATTAATCTTAGATTGCATCAAGTACGAAGAGCACAGGTGGCGCGTGAACTGTGATTTTAAAGTTCTCTCACTACTATCAGGCATGCAAACGGGCTACACTAAATACTGTTGTTTGTTCTGTCATTGGGATAGTAGAGCCAAATGCAATCACTATACCAAATGTGATTGGCCAAAAATAAAGAAACAATCGATTGGTGAATTCAATATAGTTCACGAGCCCTTGATAGTGCTTAATAAAATCATGCTTCCCGATTTACATATCAAACTTGGTGTTGTTATATATTTTATTATATCTCTCTGTTGCTTTAAGAACCCTATAATTTTTATTTCAGGTGTGCTTAATGGGCCGGACATCAGAGGATTAATTAAGGATCAAGGCTTCTTGGAAATTCTTTATGGTACAGCAGCCGTTTCATTGGATGCACTTCGGGCTTTAATTAAACACGTTCTGTGTAAAAATCGTTCACCAGAATATGCAATTTTTACTGCGAACTTGATGGAATCTTTTGACGCCTTTGATGTGTACATGCCGGTGAGGTACGAGAGAGATTTCACCAATCCACTATGTATTTTGAGGACGGATTCGCTGGAAAACGATTAAATTCAATGTTGGCGGACTTTTGCTGATCGATCGCAGGAGGCAAAGGATATTAAAAAAAAATCATTCGAGCAATAGAAACTATGCCATGGGATTGAAGAGAACCCAAATTTAGGTCCAAATAGTATATAAAGTAATATTATAAAAAAAATATTACGAAATAAAATATGAGTTGTAACGCATGACCACATATCTGAACAATCATTGTATGGGAGCTATATGTTATAATGAACCGATTTCCATGATTTTCAGAAATAGCTAAGGTAATATCAAAATACAGTCACGTGCAAAATTTTAGTAAAATAACCTTAAAACTGAGGAAATTATTAACAAAAAACCTAAAATTTAAGCAGATTTTCAAGCACCGGTATTTCGAAAACTAGAGCCAATCTGGAAAAACGGAGGACGCCATTGAATTTAAAAGATCCCAGTTAAGTAAGATCACTTATCAAAACCTTTGCCCAGAAAAAAATTCAAAACCTGAGCACAGTGTTTTAAACGACGAAAAATTCACTTTCAGGACTCTAAAACTTCACCCCTAAATATCTCAAAAGTTTGACGTGATATGGATTATCTGAAAACGCCATCGTAATCTAGAGGCCAAAACTAAGTTTACGTGTTTGCCCGTTTAGCTGTGATATTTCAAAACCTTAAAATTTACCTATAGTGTAATTGGCGTCTATTCATCGATGGGTTTTAAGGTTTGAAAGCAGTGCTTTTACACAACAGTGGCTTGCTTCCATCAGTCCCATTGGTTTACGCTACCGATATCAAAGAATCTATGACAGTATGGCTGAAATATTAAATTTCATAGATCACAAAATTCACAAGTAGCTAATTGTAGCAGATTTCAATGTACTACCAATTTTTAATGGCATGCAGGGTGGTAACACAAAATATCCATGCTATTTTTGTGAATGGTACAGTCGAGCAATAGCCCTTACTTCGTTCAAAAAGAGTGGGTTCCACGTACGTCATTTGTTGTTGGTGCAAATAATAGTATAAATATTCATCTAGTTAATATAACGGACATTATTTTACCACCGCTGCATATTAAACTGGGTTTAATAAAGCTATTTGTGAAAACACTTGACAAAAATGGTGCAACATTCAAATATCTTGAAAAATTTTTTCCACGTATAACTTACGCGAAATTGAAAGAAGGGTATTCTTCAGGGACAGCAAATAACGATTATCTTTGAAATTTCAACTCAAAAAATCACACTGAAGGAGAAATACTACGTACATAGGGAGTAAACCAATATATTTCTTATTACGCGGAATATCTTCAGCGGCACTGATTTTTATTTTTTAATTTTTACTTATAAAAATCATGTATAAAGGGTGAACACACCAAAACTGCGACACTTAGAAATTACTACCAGAAACAAACTAGAAGGCTTTTAAATTATTTTTTTTTGTATTATATAACTTGGAAGTTTAGATGTTATTAAAATGATAAAATATTAGTTATTATTTGCTCCATATGCAAGTGATCGGTATTTTCATTGCACACGCGCCATCATGTTCTGCACGACTGCATCATCGACATTACGCGATGCGCACAACTACTTTGTTTTGCACTCTTCAATAATTTTCACTCTTTCAGCTGTTTTCTTCAAGATTCCTTTGACAATTGACCAATATTCCCCAATAGGACGTGGCTCTGGGCTATTGGGTGGATTGCAGTCGTGAGGTACAAAATTGATGTTATTTGCATTATACCACGGCAATGTGTCCTTGGCATAGTGGCAGGTTGCCATGTCCGCCTAGAACGATGGCCTACTCCTTATCTGTTGATAAATGACAGAAGACGTCTTTTGAGGCACTCATCCCGATAAACTTGATCATTCATTGTCCCGGATGGGAAAAAAGGGCAGCTCTTACGGCCGCAGGANGCGAAAACGCACTGAGGACCTTCCGAGCACTGTTTTTATCACTTTGACCATGCTAACCCCCGCTCCCTGGTTTTCTCGTAACTGTCAGGCCTTATTTGTACCGATTAAAACCCTGCAAACTGTCGAATAGTGCACTCTTTAATTTTTTAGCAATTTTACGTGTACTTAAGGCCGGATCATTTATAAACTCGTGCAAAATGGTTTGTCTCGTTTCTAGCTCGGTTGCCATTTTTAACTCAACTAGGAATCAAATTCAAATGAAATTTCTTCTACGTTCATCTAAGGTCTTGGTCAACTTACGGTATTTGAATTTCAAAATATTGAACTCGTTTTGGGTAAGTTATAAGCTTCCCAAAGTGTCGCAGTTTTGGTGTGTTCCCCTTTACTCATTATTTTTTACGCAGACAATCGTTATCGTAATCGTTATGTTTTGAGTTCTAATTTTTGCTCGGAAAATAATCGTTACGTTTTAAGTTTTATTTTTTGCTCGGAAAATAATGGTTACGTTTTAAGTTTTAATTTTCGCTCGGAAAATGATCGTTACGTTTTAAGTCTTATTTTTTGTTCGGAAAATAATGGTTACGTTTTAAGTTTAATTTTTTACTCGGAAAATATTGGTTACGTTTTAAGTTTTATTTTTTGGTCGAAAAATAATGGTAACGTTTAAGCTTTATTTTTTGCTCGGAAAATAATCGTTATTTCTTGAGTTTTATTTTTTGCTCAGAAAATAAAACTTAATTTTTACGTGTGCGTATGCGCAGATGAAGACGAAGTCCATTTTCATCCTCATCTTCATCTCTATCTTCATCTTCGTCTTGATTTTCGGCCCATTTTCATCTTCATCATCATCATTATCTTTATCCTTGTCTTTTTATTTATCTTTAACTTTGTCGTGTTCGTCATATTTATCATTAACTTCATCCTTCAATATAGGTTGTGAGTGTCTGTGGTTTTGCCGTTGCCCTTGGCTTTGTTTCTGCCCTNGTGCGTATGCGCAGATGAAGACGAAGTCCATTTTCATCCTCATCTTCATCTCTATCTTCATCTTCGTCTTGATTTTCGGCCCATTTTCATCTTCATCATCATCATTATCTTTATCCTTGTCTTTTTATTTATCTTTAACTTTGTCGTTGTTGTGAGTGTCTGTGGTTTTGCCGTTGCCCTTGGCTTTGTTTCTGCCCTTGTATCTTGCTCTCTGTATTTCAATAACCGTTTATTTAGATTTTTTACTTTACTTTACTTTTACTTTATTTAGATTTTTCCCGACGTTTCGCTAAGATTTTTAGCATCTTCAGGGGATTTTCTCGTTTATTTACTTGCGCAGCAATAAATATAAAACATTAACAAAACAACAAAAAACTAATAAACGTATGAATAGTTGCACTTTATTTCATAAACCAAATTTTGTTGTTTGATTTCTATGGGGGTTTTTGTTTTTGTAAATATTGTGGATAAAGTGCAATTAGATTTGTATGCTAGCGTTATGTTAGGTTGTGTGGCAATGTGTTGATTTAAGTTTTCGGACAACGCTGAAATATCGATTTGTGGTGTTTGTTGTTACTTTACTCGACGTTCTATTTATTTCTGTAATTTTTTGTTTTATTAAGTCGCGTGTTAATTTTTCTGGGTAGCTATTACTTTTTCGAATCTTTTTGAGTTTTTCTATGTTTATGTCGTGAAATTTCTTGTCACTCAATGTAAGTAGTATTAAATGCAATGGTAAAGAAGCCGAAAATTGCGACAAAGTGTGCATCGGAACAACCAAGTGAGCCCTGGGTACTCGTCTTAGCGAACACGAAGCTGACAAAAAAAAAACAAAGAAACAGCACAACACTAGCACAGCATGTGAATACTAGTGGCCATACAGCTGATTTGGCGAACGCTAGAATAATTGATATAGAGAAAAGAGCTGTTGCCGATATTTACAAAGTCGACTGTAACTATGGAGTGACGTTGATTACACCAAGACAATGCAAACACAAGTTCACTGCTTGGCTGATAATACGGAACTGAATTTATTGTAACAGACTAGAAAGGGAGAAATAAACAGAGTTCTTCATATAAAGGACAGTGATGTAAACATTTAACATTTAATGGGGATAAAACGTTGAATAATACATAACCTTAGACATATCATAAAACCAGAACATTCTCCCGCCTGTTAAGAGACACCTTAACCCTCAGTAGGAAGCTTGCATAATTTAGTAACAGGGCGCTTTATCGACCCATGAGATGTCTTAATTGTTGCTACGCGCACCAAATTGTCTTTGCCCGGGTGCACATCAGTAACTCGACCCATTTGCCAGCACGATGGTGGAGCACGTTCTTCATAAACCAGGACAACTGCTCCAGGCTTTAGATTTTGTTTTTCTTTATACCACTTGGCTCGCTGCTGTAGTGTAGTGAGATATTCACGCTGCCAGCGATGCCAAAATTTGAACGTCTTCGAACCCAGGTTCAGCTACTTGTACCAGTGGTTGGCCAATTAAAAAATGACCCGGTGTTAAGACATTGATATTGTCAACGTCGTCATCATAAAGAACTGTGAGAGGCCGAGAATTGAGTTGTGCCTAGATTTCACAAAGTAAGGTAGCAAATTCTTCGTAAGTGAGCCTAGTTTCGCCTAAAACACGTCGGAGGTGAAATTTCGTTGCTTTAACTGCGGACTCCCAAATTCCGCCGAAATGTGGTGCACCTGGTGGGATTAGATGCCAGTTGATGAATGAAGTGGCCATATATGACCCGACATCTCGAGATTTGGACATCTGTTTGAAACTCTTCATTAGTTCGCGNAAATTCCTCCGAAACGTGGTGCACCTGGTGGGATTAGATGCCAGTTGATGAATGAAGTGGCCATATATGACCCGACATCTCGAGATTTGGACATCTGTTTGAAACTCTTCATTAGTTCGCGGTTGGCGCCAATAAAGTTTGTGCCATTATCGCTGTGCATATCGGATGGCAAACCTCTGCGGGAGACAAATCTTTTTAGAGCTGCTATGAAAGCGTCTGTAGTCAGATCTGAGACAACTTCAAGATGCATTGCGCGTGTAGCAAGGCAGACAAAAACAGCGATATAACCTTTGATTGGAGCAGCATTGCGACCTTTGTGAGCCTTCATCAAAAAAGGGCCAGCATAGTCGACGCCAGTGCGAAGAAATGGTCGCGCTTGAGTAACGCGGCTGGGGGGAAGATCTGCCATCTGCTGAGNTGGAAGGCAGAAATGTACAACTTTGGTAAACGTGTATCGCAGCTGCCAGCTTGGTCAAGCATACTGCGCTGAGTTTCTGTGAATCGGTTGAGGGTTGTATTTAGATCTTTCACTCCAGTACTTGAGATGATAGCTGATGGGGTGGAGCGAGTGGCTAGCAATACGAGAAAGCGTTCTTTGAGGTCCAGATAGACATCTTCCTGCGAAGAATATTCCGACACTTGGTCATCATGCGATGCGATTTTGTTGTCGACATCTACAAATTCTTCCCATAAGGCGTCAAGCCGGTCGCACCGGATCTTCAGCGCCTCATAACTTGTAGACTCAGTTGCNATTGTCGACATCTATAAATTCTTCCCATAAGGCGTCAAGCCGGTCGCACTGGATCTTCAGCGCCTCATAACTTGTAGACTCAGTTGCTGCTAAAACATAACTTCTATATTTTGTGAAAGAGCCTTTTATTTGCCCGCGCGTACGAATNATTAATTGAGGCAGTGACAGAGTATGAACAGATATCCTCCCCGCCGTTATGCACTTTGCCAGCAAGTACATAACCAAAGATAGTATTTTGGATGGTTGGAAAGCCTGTTTTGCTGGTAAATTTTCCATCAGTAAGAAAGTCGAAGAAACGTTGTGAGCCAATGAGAACATCTATTGGCTGAGAGATAAGCGAACCGTCGTCTGCCATGTTCAGGTTTGGTGGAAAACCGCAATGAGACGTATTGACCGGATCTGACTTATCTTGGTGTGAAATGCGATTCAGAATAAAAGCATCAATGTTGACTGACACGTTGCTGTCGAAACGTGATGTGAGCTGCAGTGATACGATACCTCTTGTAATAACTGATTTTGCTCCTCCAATTCCACCAACCTTGATGCGCCCGTTTCTACGCGAGAGCCGCNGCCTTTTATTTGCCCGCGCGTACGAATTAAATTTGGGACTTCCATTAATTTGCGTTTGGTTTTGTTTAATATGTGAATTTTCGCCAAAGGTCTTTTGACAGATAAATTATGTGAGAGCGCTCTGAGACAACAGTTAGGCTGCGCTTCTTTTCCACCGTTTGATTATAAGTACAAGACGAATTATTGTTTCTCAAATTATCGCTCACAGTAACAACGGCATTTACTTACGTATGTACATACATGAGTGAACGTCAGATAAATAGGAATAGCTTTTGAGTTTTTGTTTTGCCTTTTGAGTGATTTCCTTTTTATGTGTTATTTTTTTTCGGGAGGCGAATTAAGAGTGAATTGAGGTAAACCGCAGACTGAGGATAACTGTTCAGGCTACACACAATGCAGCTTTTAATTTTAGTTTTGTCCGTACACGACCTTTTCGCTAGGTTGGGATGTCTTNGTTGACCGGATCTGACTTATCCTGGTGTGAAATGCGATTCAGAATAAAAGCATCAATGTTGACTGACACGTTGCTGTCGAAACGTGATGTGAGCTGCAGTGATACGATACCTCTTGTAATAACTGATTTTGCTCCTCCAATTCCACCAACCTTGATGCGCCCGTTTCTACGCGAGAGCCGCAATCGTTGGACTAGATCTNAGAGCAAAAACAGGATTCACATTAGATATCTTGAGAATAATGTAGAAAAGGGACAATGCAATGAAAATTGCCGCAGTTTATTTATTATGTTTATAAATATTGGTAGTATTCAGTTCAGGCAAAGCGTTGGTAACGATTTTTAGTTNGATCTTCAGACACAGATGTTCCCATTGATGCTGAGTCCATCAGCACCTTGCAGACCGACGCTCCGGTGGTATTGGTGTTTGAAGCTTTCACGACCGCTGTAGGAAGCGCAACCCTTTGATTCACCATATTNGAGAAATAAACAGAGTACTTCATATAAAGGACAGTGATGTTAACATGGAACATTTAATGGGGATAAAACGTTGAATAATACATAACTTTAGACATATCATAAAACCAGAACAAGAGCAAAAACAAGATTCACATTAGATATCTTGAGAATAATGTAGAAAAGGGACAATGCAATGAAAATTGCCGCAGTTTATTTATTATGTTTATAAATATTGGTAGTATTCAGTTCAGGCAAAGCGTTGGTAACGATTTTTAGTTTTATGTTCAGAGTTTAATTTTAAATGTAATGTAAGTTAACAACTCTTTTGTGTTAAACTTNTTGTCGTCCACATAGGTAGCATTTTTGCTTAGAGGTGCAATTGCTGACTCTGTGCTCTCCGGAGAGGCAATTGTAGTACAAGTTATCATTCTTCACGAATTCTCGCTTTTGAGTTACACCCAGCGATTTGAATTTAGGACACTTGTAAAGATGATGCGCACCATCGCAGCTGGTGCACGTTGCAGGTGTGTGATTAGAATCTGTTGCTATGAAACAGCGAGCACGAAAAGAAGTGGAAGCGCCGCTCTTATATGTTTCCATGCACTCAAGAGCTGACCATCTTTTGTTTAAAAATTCTATAAATTCTTCGATTTTTGGATGATCCTTGGACCCTTTGTCGCTTTCTGCCCATTGGCGTTTTGTGTCATCATCCAACTTTTTTAATAGCATGTATATTATCCAGGGATCTCGGCTTTCTGCATCTGCTCCTAACGATTTCAGCCCTCTCAAGATGCAGTCTGTGTTATCAGCTAGCGTGCGGATTGCCACAGCTGACGGCTCAACTACGCTTTTGAGCTCGAAAAAAGATTTTATGTAGGAGATGATTATGGGTTTTTGCTTGTCATACCTCTCGCATAGCTTGCTCCAAGCTCTGTCGTATGCTTCATTTGAGCAAACAATACCCGAAATCACCGTTTCAGCGTCGCCTTTCAGATACATTTGCAGGTACTGGAATTTTCGAGATTTAGATATTGTATTTACGTTGTGTACAGTGTTTAAAAACAGATCTTTAAAAGTTGGCCACTTGCAGTACTCCCCATGGAAGGCAGGAATGTC